TTTTATGTTATTATATATTTTTATATCTGTATAATATTTTATATAAAATTTATTAGTTTGTTTATAGAACATTAGTAAAGATTTTTTATTTTTTTTTCTTCTTAATTTATAGTATGTATGAATATAATATTAATATTCAAAGTTCAACCTAAAAAAAATAAATAGATAAATAGTTACGGGACAAAACAAATTGATAAATAGTTACGGGACGAAGAGAGTATTTTGTATTAAAAGTTTATTTTTTGTATTAAATCAAATATATATTATATATTATGTAAGAGGGTGTAAATAATATATTTTTGATAATATTTATTGTGTAACTCAAGAAATTTTAGATGAACAAACGGTTGCGTTCTTTTGTGGGTTTTAACCAGGTTTTTACTATTTAGATTTTTTTTTCAAAAATATTAAATTAAAATAATTACTTTTTTTTATATATTATACTACAAAATTATTTTATATTTAACATCACAGCAATCTTTATTTATATCACATCAAACAATTATTCAAATTCTAACTTTTTATTATTCACAAATCCAAATCCAAACACAAAAACTAAAACCCACAAAACAAACACACTTAACGTGTTTCTTTTATAATATTAATTGATAAATATATCGAAAATTTTTGTTGGTATTATGAGTTATTTATTTTAATAGGTGTCATTTAATTGTACATGTGGCACAATATTATGATGCCAAGACATTAAAGGTGATGACTAATGCTTTGTACATTGTCTATAAATAAGGGATTATATCAAATGAATTTTGTGAGTTTGGGCATTAGATAAATTTACTCTATTTTAATCTCTCTATTTCTCTCTAAGCTAAATACATATACGTTTATATATATTCCTAAGTTTGTAAGCATATATATACATATATATATATCTATATATTAGATATAGTATTATTATATTATATATTTATAACACGTTATCAGCACGAGGCTTTGCCGAGGAAGTGCATATAAAGATAGCGTATTTTTGTTGTTGTTTTTGTTATATTACTCGGAAGGTTGCGGAATTTCTGGTAAGTATTTATTTTCTTTTAATCATGTCTAATATAGCAAAATTTGAATTTCCCCCGCTGGCAATTACCGGAAATAATTATATGCCGTGGGTAATGAATGTCGAGATGCACCTCGAATCCATGGGGCTTTCGAAAACAATAATTAGTGAAAATGAATGCACAAATCAAGAACGTGCAAAGGCAATGATTTTCTTGCGTCATCATATTGACGAAGCCCTAAAAATGGAATATTTAATGGTGAAAGATCCATTTGAATTATGGACAAATTTGAAAGATCGGTTTGGACACTTAAAATCTGTTATATTACCAAAAGCGAAACATGCATGGCAACGCTTACGTTTGCAAGATTTTAAAACAGTTGCCGATTATAATTCCATGATGTTCAAAATCACGTCCCAGTTAAGATTTTGTGGAGAAAATATTTTTGATAGGGATATGTTGGAAAAAACATTTACCACGTTTCATGCCTCTAATAGAGTCTTATTACTTGTCTGCTTGTTTCTGAACAAAATAACGAATTATTGTTAAAAAATCACGAATCGAGGCCAACTGGTGCGAGTCCAGTCCCTGAAGTGAATGCGACTCAGTGTTTAAATAATATGCCTAGATTCTACCGCGGACGAGGTCGCGGACAAGGCAGTGGACGTGGATTTAGTCGTGGACGTGGATTTGATCGTGGACGTGGAATGAGTCGTGGACGTGGAGCCGACCGTGGACGAGGTCGTGGCAGGTTTGTTTATTACCATCAGGGATATTTTGATGAGCAGGAATCAAATAGGCCTATGAAGCGGCCTCAGAACGATATTAGTCAGAGTTCAAAGAAAAACGAGGATAAGTGTTATCGTTGCGGAATGACAGGGCATTGGTTCAGAAATTGTCGTTCCAATTCTTATTTTGTTGAGCTGTACCAAAATTCTCTGAAACAGAAAGACAAAGTGCCTGAAGAAGTTAAAGCACCGGAAAATGTCAATCCCCCAGAAATTAAATTTTCAGAGAATGTTGCTAGTGGAAGTGGGGGTGATAAATGTAATGATAATACACAGTTAAATGTATCTGATTTTCTAGTACACCATGAAGGTGGGTACTATGAAAATCCCGGAAATGCGATATAAATGCATATAGATATGTGTAGATATTTTTGTAACACATGTAGTTTTTGCTCCCTACATTTTGTAATGATATGACAGCTATGTATTTTCTCCAAATTTTTGATATATTTATTCTTATATTTCTCCCAGAAGAAGAAATATGAATGCTGAGCACGTTATAATGAATAATATGGAAGATAGTTCATGTCTCATTGATAGTGCATCAACGCACACCATTTTGAAATATAAGAAATATTTCACCAACCTGAAGTTGGGAAAAATTGAGGTGAATACCATAAGTGGTTGTGCGAAGTTAATTGAGGGTTCTGGAAGAGCGATAATATTTCTCCCCGAATGAGTAAAACTTGATATCCAAAATGCACTATATTCTAGTAAATCTCAAAGAAATTTGTTGAGTTTTAATGATATTCGCAGAAATGGATATCATATTGAGACATCAAATGAAGCAAATAATGAATTTTTGTTAATTACAAAATTCATTGATGGACATAAATATATATTAGAAAAATTGCCTTCATTGTATTCCGGATTATATTGCACAAAGATTAATGTGGTTGAAACATATCTGGTAGACCAGAAGTCTACAGATTTTATGATTTGGCATGACCGGTTTGGGCATCCTGGTAATACTATGATGAGACGAATTATTGAAAATACCAATGGCCATAACTTGAAAGATCAAAGGGTATTAAATATAAATGAGTTTATATGTGTTGCTTGCTCAAAAGGGAAGTTAATAACTAGACCATCACCGGCAAAAGTGGGAACTGAATCCCCTTCATTTTTAGAACGAATTCAGGGTGATATATGTGGACCTGTAGATCCACCATGCGGACCATTTCGATATTTTATGGTACTTATCGATGCATCTACTAGATGGTCGCATGTGTGTTTATTATCTACCCGCAATTTGGCATTTGCGAGGTTGCTTGCTCAAATAATTAGATTACGAGCTCAGTTTCCAGATCACCCAATAAAGAAAATTCGTCTTGATAATGCTGGTGAATTTTCATCCAAAACATTTGATGATTATTGCATGTCTATTGGAATTGACATTGAACATCATGTACCTCATGTACATACTCAAAATGGTCTAGCTGAATCACTTATAAAAAGGCTGCAATTAATTGCAAGACCTATGCTAATGAAATCCAAACTTCCCGTATCTGCTTGGGGATATGCAATTATGTATGCAGCAACACTGATAAAATTAAAACCGACAAGCTATCATAGCTACTCCACAATACAATTAGTGTACAATGAAAAGCCCAATATTTCACATTTGAGAACTTTTGGGTGCGCGGTTTATGTGCCAATTGCATCGCTCCAACGTACAAAAATGGGCCCCCAATGGAGATTGGGGATATATGTCGGGTACGAATCACCATCTATCATTAAATATCTTGAACCATTAACTGGTGATTCGTTGACGGCTCGTTTTGCTGATTGTCATTTTGACGAGTCGCATTTCCCGATATTAGGGGGAGAAACTGATCAACTGAAAAAGGAAATTACTTGGAAAATACCATTCAGTTTTCTTGATCCTCGTACAAGTCAAAGTGAATTAGAGGTACAAAGAATTTTACATTTACAGCGAATAGCAAATCAGTTGCCTGATGCTTTTTGTGACGCCAGCAGGGTCACTAGATCTTATATAGCTGCTGAAAATGTACCTGCTAAAATTGTTATTCCTAGAGACAAAATACAAAGTGCTAATGAATCAAATGTACGCCTAAAGCGTGGCAGAACTGTAGGTTCCAAAGATAAAAATCCTCGAAAGAAAAGAGGAACAAATGAAAGGGTTGATGATTTTAATGTTAATCAAAACCCTCAAGAAACATGTAGTAACATGGATCATATTTCTAGAGAAATTGATCCTAATAAACTTGATGAGGATGTTAATCCTAATAGAATTTCTTCTGAAGAGAATGAAATTATTGAAAATTCAATAAATTATGTTACTACTGGAAAGCATTGGAACCGAAGTGATACAATTATGGATAATGCTTTTGCATATAATGTAGCACTTGATCTAATGGAAAATGACGAGGATTCAGAACCTAGATCAGTTGATGAATGTCGGAAAAAAATAGATTGGCCAAAATGGAAAGATGCGATCCAGTCTAAATTAAATTCACTGGCAAAACAAAAAGTTTTTGGACCCATTGTTCAAACACCTGAAAGTGTTAAGCCTGTTGGCTATAAATGGGTATTTATTCGAAAGCGAAATGAGAATAATGAAATTGTCAGATATAAAGCAAGACTTGTTGCCCAAGGTTTTTCACAAAGACCTTGAGTTGATTCTAATGAAACATATTCTCCAGTAATGGATGGAAAAACATTTCGATATATTGTCAGTTTGGCAGTACATGAAAATTTGGATATGCGTCTGATGGACGTTATAACTGCGTATTTATATGGCTCGTTGGATAGTGATATTTACATGAAAATCCCTGAAGGATTTAGTATGCCTGATGCATATAAATCAAAGCCAAAAGAATGTTATTCTATTAAATTACAAAAGTCTTTATATGGGCTCAAACAATCTGGTTGTATGTGATATAATCGTCTCAGTGAATCATTATTGAAAGAAGGATATGCCAATGATTCTATTTGTCCGTGTATTTTTATAAAGAAAAATGGGAGAAATTTTGTAATAATAGCTGTCTATGTGGATGACTTGAATTTAATTGGAACCCCTGAAGAGATCCAATAAGCTATTGAATATTTGAAAAGGGAGTTTGAAATTAAAGATTTCGGAAAAACAAAATTTTTTCTTGGTCTACAAATTGAGCATTTAGAAAATGGGATTTTGATACATCAATCTGCATATTCCCAGAAGGTATTGAAATGATTTGCAATGGCTAAAGCACATTCATTAAGTACTCCAATGGTCGTTAGAACTCTCGATCCTATTAAAGATCCTTTTAGACCAAAAGAGGAGAATAAGGAAGCACTTGGTCCTAAAGTACCATATTTAAGTGCTATTGGTGCACTAATGTATCTGGCTAACAGTACTAGACCAGATATAGCGTTTGCTGTAAATTTATTGGCCAGGTTTAGTGCAATGCCAACACAACGACATTGGAAAGGAATCAAACATATTTTTCGTTATCTTCAAGGATCTATTGATCTTGGTCTATTATATCCAAAAGGATCTCGACATGAATTGATTGGATATGCAGATGCTGGGTATCTTTTTGATCCGCATAAAGCCAAGTCTCAGACTGGCTATATGTTTACTTGTGGCGGTACAGTGGTATCTTGGAGATCCACTAAACAAACATTAACCGCCACATCTTCAAACCATGCAGAAATAATAGCAATTCATGAAGCCAGTAGAGAGTGTGTTTGGCTAAGATCAATGATTCACCACATTTTACAGAATTGTGGTTTGAAATCTGAAAATGATAATCCTCCTACTATTTTGTACGAAGATAATGCAGCTTGTATAGCGCAACTGAAAGAATGATATATCAAGGGAGATAGAACGAAACATATTTCACCAAAGTTTTTCTTTACTCATGATCTCCAGAAAAATGGTGAAATAAATGTGCAGCAGATTCGATCAGACCAAAATTTAGCAGACTTGTTGACCAAGACTTTACCGACCGTAACGTTCGAGAAATTAGTGAAGATCATCGGGATGCGTCGGTTGCAAGATTTCAAATGATGTCCACATCAGGGGGAGCAATATTTCAAGTGATGTCCATAGCAAGGGAAGTGTTTTTAATGCATGAATGACGTACTCTTTTTCCTTAACTAGGATTTTTGTCCCGTTGGGTTTTTTCCTAATAAGGTTTTAACGAGGCGTATTTATTGCAGTTAATGACACCTAAGGGGGAGTATTATGAGTTATTTATTTTAATAGGTGTCATTTAATTGTACATGTGTCACAATATTATGATGTCAAAATATTAAAGGTGATGACTAATGCTTTGTACATTGTCTATAAATAAGGGATTATATCAAATGAATTTTGTGAGTTTAGGCATTAGATAAATTTACTCTCTTTTAATCTCTCTATTTCTCTCTAAGCTAAATACAAATACGTTTATATATATTTCTAAACGCATATATATATCTATATATTAGATATAGTATTATTATATTATATATTTATAACAGTTGGATGAATTTAATGATTAATCTTATTATTTTATATAAAACATATATCTGAAGTTTATTTAATCTAAAATAAAAATAAGAAGAATAGAGATGGTGAGTTGTAAAAAGAAGAATAAAACTTGAATATGATAAGGCGGCGGCGGCCGACACACCGACGGAGTGTGGACTGGAACCAGATTGAACTCAACAACCGTCTCTATCTCTCTCGGGATTGGTCCAACAAAAATTATTGATTAGATTGCATATTTATAAACTATTATTAATTATATGCTTTCGATTATCTTTCTATTAATCAATCACCTATCAATTCAAATCTACTAAAGCATGAGCTGATGGTGTAAGAGTTGAATTTGTGATCGTGAGATTATGGGTTCAAAACTCCGACGTCCCAGATCATATGTCACAATTTGCACGATATTAGATTCGGTCGGACGTTTACAAAGTGTGCACTTTCGGAAAACGGCTGCGGGTTTCACTTCATCCAAAAAAAAAAAAATCACCTATCAATTCAACTTAAATTTATATCTTGAAATTTTGTATCACTAAATTAGTTTTACAAAAATTATAAATAATATAGCAATGTATTTTTTTTTTTAATTTAAAAAATAATAGTAATTATAATGTGTAGTTGTAAGTAGTATAAAATTAGTTTGCCTTTATTTTTATAAAAGTAATTATCTATAATAAAATATAAGTATTTGTAAAAAAAAATAGGATTTATAAATTAAATTTTACACTCACATCCAAAAAATAATTATAAAATTCTAGGTTCGTTTGTTTAGAGTTTTAATTTGAGATTTTTTTATGTGATATATTGAAAATTGTGTAATAAATAAATAAATATTTTGCATAAAATCACTTTAAATATAATAATAAATTAATAAATTAATATACAATAGATATATAAAATCATAATATCAAACTATCAATATTTATAACTACAAAAGTTGGGATTTGAACAATAAAAAATTTGAATTTAAATAGTTGTATTATGTGATATAGATAGACGTTGATGCTATGTTTTGAATGTAAAAATTAATTTTTAGTATAATATAAAAAATTAAAAATAGTGTTTGATTTAATATTTTTGGAAAGAAAAAATGGGATGAATAGTAAATTTAAAATCCAATTCCCAGACAAACACACCCGGAGATGAAGGAATAACACAACAAAATAAAAATAAAAATAACCCAAACAAAAAGAACATTGACAAAATTAACATTTAAGCAGACAGGGTTTAGGGTTAGGGTTAGGGTTAGGGTTAGGGTTAGGGTTAGGGTTTAGGAATAGTCACTAATTCTCTTTCACAGTTTGATGATCCACTCTTGACAAGTCCATATAATCTTTTAAGATTTGAATGTATCTCATTTGCATCCATGCCATCTAAAACATGGAATTATTAGGCAGCAAAACTCAAATAAATTGATATTACAGTAAAGCTTAGAAGATAATTTAGAAATAAATATAATTACAACTAATAGATATTATACAAACAAATTATAATACCGAGAAATCGAATTTAAATTTTCAATTAATTTCTACAACAATAACACTGACCTACTATTCAAGCCAATAATTTCATGCATCTACAAAGTAATCTCCTCCAACAACAGTAATGAATTTCATATTTCTATATAAAAATAATAACATAGTAACAATATTAGAATGTGTGAGAATAAAATAGAAAAAAGAAAATTGAGAAATGAATGAAAAATGATCACTTTTAAAAATAGATTGAAAAAGAAAACAACAAAATGTATATATATGTATATAAATAAAATTATAAGTATAGGTATATCTATAGGATAAGATATAATAATTGGAACAGAGAGAATATATTAAATAAAAATAAATATATAAAATTATAATAATAATACTCGGTACCGTCTTATAAATATAATTTTTTTAATATAATTAAATTATTAAAAAAGAATCAATGTATAATTTTTTGATTCACTTGTTAATCTTAAATAATAATTCAAAATTAAATTTTATTGTCAACAATATGTTAAATATTATTTAAAATAAAATAAACTTTTTGTATGACACAACTATGTGTATTCATATAGTTGTATTGTGAGTAACTCTATTATATATATATATATAATTAATAGATTTATTTAAAAAAATTATCGTAATTATTTTCTAATATATATTTATTAACATTCATTATATATATCAAATAAAAAACAATACTCTATAGTTGGACAAAAATATGCAATTTTGTTTATTTGAGAAAAATAAAAAATAATACTCCATCTGTCTCATAACTAAATATTCATTTACTTTTTACACGTTGATATTTGAATATTAATTATTATATCAAAACGTATTACAAATCAAGAAAAAATTGCAAAAATATTTCTATTAATGTCTTATAATACTAATATAATGACATTTGTATAAAAAATTATATAAATATAAAGATATTTTTAACGTTAAGTATAATAATAACGCAAAAGGTAAATGGATAATTTGTTATGGGACGGAGGGGAGTAGTATCTTTTTTAACATAAAAATGAGATAGATAAAAAAATAAAAATATTATGATAACTTTTTTAAGAAATTGATATAAATTTATATAAAACACACTCTTTATCCAATATTTAATTATAAATATGAACCTAAAGTATGCACATTCTATACAAATAAAAGAAGTAAAAGATCTTAAATAATATTCTCTTAAATAAAATAATAAATAAATAATTTATCAATAATTCATTTGATAGTTTTTTAAAAATCATATAACAATTTGTCTCAAAAAATTATAAAATAAATGATTAATCAATTATTTATTTATTTTATTCTAAAATAATAATTTAATATTGTTGTCTGTTTTATTTGTATAAAATTTGTATGATTATATTTATTTTTTCACAAAAATATCAATTTTGGATAAAAAGAATATTTTGTGCAAATTTTAATATATCTCAAATAAAAGTATTTTCTGTATTTTTATTAAAATATAAAGAAACATTATATAATTTATCCTCTAAAAAATGATAAATAAATTTTGAATGAGATTAATTTTTTTATATATATAATTTTTTAGTGAAAATAAAAATAAAACAAAATTTGAATGAGATTTTTTTTTTATTCAATTTTAAATTATTTTAAAATTAGAAAACAATAAATCTTGTATATTATAAATATATATTTACGAAGAGGTGCAGTGCAAAAAATAACAAAAAGGATTAATACATCGATATTGGCTAATAATTAAATTAAGACAACAAATCGACACAGGGGCACTGAATCATTCATAGACAACCCTATCCCGCCGTCGCCGCGCCCAGCCCAGCTTCCTCTTTTCTCTTCCGTGCTTTCTACAGCGCCGCCGTCGTGCTTCGCTTCTGTTGCGCCGCTGCCACGCCCACCTCCACTGTGCCGCCTCCGTACCCGGCCTTCGCTCCGAGTTTGCTCGCCCAACTCGTCGCTTCTGACTCGCCCCTCCCATCTCTGTTTCTTCAGGTATGAGTTTTTTATTTTTTATTTTTTATTTTTGCGGCTCTTTTCAAATTTTTTTATTCATATTCTCCTTAAAATTTAATTTTAATTTTAATATTGTTAAATATTTCGGTGTATTATGGAATCAAAAGAGTTTATCTGGCGAATCCCCTGTTAGGCCGCTTGAATCCAGAGAGCGAGGAGGTTGAAGAAGTTGAGAATAATCAAGCAAGCAGCACTCACTCAATCAGACACGGTAAGTTAATCTGGGTTCGTCTAGGGCTTTGAATAATTTCTACTATTTTTTAGAAGGTTTCATATTTGAGTGTTGATTTAGGGCATTGTTGACTGAAGGAGATGGCTCACCCCGGGGGTGGTGCTGAGGCCCACGCTAGGTTCAAGCAATACGAGTACAGAGCTAATTCGAGCCTTGTACTCACCACTGATTCTCGCCCTCGCGACACACATGAGCCTACTGGAGAACCTGAGTCGCTGTGGGGAAAGATTGACCCCAAAAGCTTTGGTGACCGAGCTTATAGGGATAAACCTCCGGAGTTGGAGGAGAAACTTAAAAAATCAAAAAAGAAGAAGGACCGAGAGCCCCTTTTTGATGCTGCACCTCCTAAGAGCAAGAAGAGGCGTCTTCAGGAGGAGAGTGTCCTCACTTCCTCCGAGGAAGGTGTTTACCAGCCAAAGACTAAAGAGACAAGGGCTGCTTATGAAGCCATGCTTAGTGTTATTCAGCAACAGTTGGGTGGGCAGCCTCTGAATATTGTGAGCGGAGCTGCTGATGAGATTTTGGCAGTCCTGAAGAATGAGAATTTAAAAAATCCTGATAAGAAAAAGGAGATTGAGAAGCTGCTGAACCCCATCCCGAGCAATACATTTGATCAACTCGTGTCCATTGGGAGGCTTATTACCGATTACCATGATAGTGCCGATGCTGGGGATTCTGCTGTTAATGGAGATGATGGTCTTGATGATGATGTTGGTGTTGCTGTGGAGTTTGAGGAGAATGAAGAAGAAGAAGAAGAAAGTGATCTGGACATGGTACCTGAGGATGAAGAGGATGAAGATGATGTGGCAGAAATGGATGGTTCTGGGGCTATGCAGATGGGTGGTGGAATTGATGAGGATGATGAGCAGGAAGCTAATGAAGGAATGGCCTTGAATGTTCAGGATATTGATGCATACTGGCTACAAAGGAAGATCTCACAAGCCTATGACCAGAAAATTGATCCACAGCAGAGCCAGAAGCTTGCGGAAGAGGTTCTGAAAATTCTTGCTGAGGGTGATGACCGTGAAGTTGAAAATAAGTTGCTGATGCATCTGGAGTTTGATCAGTTTAAACTTATCAAATTCCTATTACGGAACCGGTTGAAAATAGTATTTTGTACTCGTCTGGCGAGGGCTGAAGATCAAGAGAAGAGGAAGGAGATTGAAGAGGAAATGATGCAATTGGGGCCTGACCATGCTGCCATCCTGGAGCAGCTACATGCCACTCGAGCGACTGCAAAAGAGAGGCAGAAGAACATGGAGAAGAGCATTAGGGAGGAGGCTAGGCGGCTGAAAGATGAAACTGGTGGGGATGATGACCGTGAACGCCGTGGTTTAGTTGATAGAGATGCTGATGGTGGTTGGTTAAAGGGGCAGCGGCAACTTCTGGACCTGGAGAGCCTTTCGTTTCAAAAAGGTGGGTTGTTGATGGCAAACAAAAATGTGAGCTACCGGTTGGTTCTTATAGAAACCACAGGAAGGGTTATGAAGAAGTTCACGTTCCAGCATTGAAGCCAACGGTATTAGCTGCTGATGAGAAACTTGTTAAGATTTCTGACTTGCCAGAGTGGGCCCAACCAGCTTTCAAAGGAATGAGCCAGCTGAATAGGGTCCAGAGCAAAGTTTATGAGACTGCACTTTTCAGTGCCGAGAACATCTTGTTGTGTGCGCCGACCGGTGCTGGGAAAACGAATGTTGCAATGCTTACTATACTTAACCAGATTGCGCTGAATATGAATGATGATGGCACAATTAATCATAATAATTACAAGATTGTGTATGTCGCACCAATGAAGGCTCTGGTTGCCGAGGTGGTAGGAAACCTTTCTAATCGTTTGGAACAATATGGTGTCAAAGTTAAGGAGTTGAGCGGTGATCAAACATTGACGCGACAACAGATTGAGGAAACCCAGATTATTGTGACTACTCCCGAGAAGTGGGACATTATTACTAGAAAGTCAGGTGACCGCACGTACACACAGCTTGTGAAACTTCTCATTATTGATGAAATCCACCTGCTGCATGACAATAGAGGGCCTGTGCTGGAAAGCATAATTGCTAGAACTGTTCGGCAAATTGAAACTACGGAAGAGCATATTCGGCTTGTTGGGCTCTCTGCCACACTTCCGAATTACGAAGATGTTGCGGTTTTCTTACGAGTTAAATTACAGAAGGGGCTCTTTCATTTTGACAATAGTTACAGGCCAGTTCCTTTGGCCCAGCAGTATATTGGGATTACTGTAAAGAAGCCATTGCAGAGATTTCAGTTGATGAATGATGTATGCTATGAGAAGGTTATTAGCGTTGCTGGAAAACATCAAGTTTTGATCTTTGTCCATTCGAGAAAGGAGACTACCAAGACAGCTCGTGCAATTCGTGATACTGCCCTCGCTAACGATACCCTGAGTAAGTTCTTGAAAGAGGATAGTGCAAGTCGGGAAATTCTTCAATCTCACACAGAGCTCGTGAAAAGCAGCGACCTGAAGGATCTACTACCTTATGGTTTTGCAATCCATCATGCAGGGATGGTTAGAGCTGATCGGCAAATTGTTGAGGAGCTTTTTGCAGATGGGCATGTCCAAGTCTTGGTTTCTACTGCCACTCTTGCTTGGGGTGTCAATTTGCCTGCACATACTGTTATCATCAAGGGTACTCAAATCTATAATCCTGAGAAAGGAGCATGGACTGAATTGAGTCCTCTAGATGTCATGCAGATGCTTGGTCGTGCTGGTCGGCCTCAGTATGATACATATGGTGAAGGAATAATCATAACTGGCCATAGTGAATTGCAGTATTATCTGTCCTTGATGAATCAGCAGCTTCCTATTGAGAGCCAGTTTATTTCTAAATTGGCTGATCAGTTGAATGCTGAAATTGTACTTGGAACTGTGCAGAATGCTAGAGAAGCGTGTAAATGGTTGCTGTATACATATTTATTTGTCCGGATGATGCGGAATCCAAACCTATATGGTTTGTCACCTGATGTTCTGAAAAGAGATAAAACCTTGGAAGAAAGAAGAGCTGATCTGGTAAATTTTCTTCTTTCCTGTTAATTAGACTTTGTTGATCTGTTTTTAGCTTTTTATTTAGCTTGGTTGGTTTGGTTCATGGACATTGATTCTGAATGACACTACATTTGTGCATATTGAAATCATTTTTGGACTTGAACTTAATAAAGTAGATTTCAGTTTTGAGCATAACACTTTACAACCCAAGAAATTGTGAGTTCTAAGTTTTTGGATACAAGCCTTAACTTTTGGTTTTGCTATTGTATGCTTTTGTCGTCTATTACCACTCTTTATTCCTAAATTTGGTATTAAAAAAAAAAAAAAAAACCAAACAATCAATATTTTAAGAGAATACTGCATGGCTTGATTAAGTTGCTACAAGAATTATTCATATGATTTTCTTTTCTTTTATATTAATTTATGTTTAATAATTAATCGTGTAATTCTTTTTCAGATTCATTCAGCAGCTATGATTTTGGATAAGAACAATCTGGTGAAGTATGACAGGAAAAGTGGATATTTCCAGGTCACTGACTTGGGTCGCATTGCCAGCTATTACTATATTACTCATGGTACAATATCCACCTACAATGAGCATTTGAAGCCTACCATGGGTGATATTGAGCTGTGTCGGCTGTTCTCACTCAGTGAAGAGTTCAAATATGTAACTGTGAGACAAGATGAGAAGATGGAACTAGCCAAGCTCTTAGACAGGGTCCCTATACCAATAAAAGAGAGTCTTGAGGAACCCAGTGCAAAAATTAATGTCTTACTTCAAGCTTATATTTCACAGTTAAAGCTCGAGGGCCTGTCGCTGACATCTGACATGGTTTTTATTACTCAGGTTAGCTAATTTTTATCTTTCTGTAAGTTATGCTACACATCTTCTTACTTTGCCGTCATTTTGATTTCTTTTCCCCTTTTTTTCTCTTTTCCCCCCTCAGAGTGCCGGACGACTCATGAGAGCATTGTTTGAGATAGTTCTGAAAAGAGGATGGGCCCAACTGGCTGAGAAGGCTCTTAAACTTTGCAAAATGATAGGCAAGAGGATGTGGAGCGTGCAGACACCTCTTCGTCAATTCCACGGCATCCCAAATGAAATTCTGATGAAGTTGGAAAAGAAAGACTTGGCTTGGGAAAGGTACTATGATCTCTCTTCTCAGGAGATTGGAGAACTCATTCGTTTTCCTAAGATGGGAAGAACACTCCATAAATTTATTCATCAGTTCCCAAAGTTAAACCTGAATGCACATGTTCAACCAATCACAAGATCTGTTTTGAGGGTCGAATTAACCATCACCCCTGATTTCCAGTGGGATGACAAGGTCCATGGATATGTTGAGCCTTTCTGGATTATTGTTGAGGACAATGATGGGGAACATATTCTTCATCATGAGTACTTCATGTTAAAGAAGCAGTATATTGATGAGGACCATGCTCTGAATTTCACTGTACCCATATATGAACCACTTCCCCCACAATACTTCATTAATGTGGTGTCTGATAGATGGCTAGGGTCGCAGACTGTTCTACCTGTTTCTTTCAGGCACCTCATTTTACCTGAAAAATATCCTCCTCCCACGGAGTTACTGGATTTGCAACCTCTTCCTGTCACGGCATTACGAAACCCAGCATATGAAGCTCTTTATCGACAATTCAAGCATTTCAATCCTGTCCAGACGCAGGTTTTCACAATCTTGTACAACTCAGATGATAATGTCTTGGTTGCTGCGCCAACTGGTAGTGGCAAGACCATATGTGCTGAGTTTGCCATTTTGAGGAATCATCAGAAAGGACCTGATAGTGTCTTGCGTGCTGTCTATATAGCTCCTATGGAAGCTCTTGCCAAGGAAAGATACCATGATTGGCAGAAAAAATTTGGAGAGGGACTTGGATTGAGGGTGGTTGAATTAACTGGAGAAACTGCTACTGATTTGAAACTTCTTGAGAAAGTTCATATAATAATCAGCACTCCTGAGAAATGGGATGGTTTATCTCGCAGATGGAAACAGCGTAAATATGTTCAGCAGGTCAGTCTATTCATTATTGATGAGCTCCATTTGATTGGGGGTCAAGGTGGCCCTGTGTTGGAGATCATAGTCTCAAGAATGCGCTACATTGCTAGTCAGTTGGAGAACAAGATACGTATTGTGGCCCTTTCAACTTCTCTTGCCAATGCCAAGGATCTGGGAGAATGGATTGGGGCTTCATCTCATGGTCTTTTCAATTTTCCTCCTGGTGTGAGGCCAGTGCCTTTGGAAATTCACATTCAGGGTATAGACATTGCTAACTTTGAAGCGAGAATGCAGGCCATGACGAAACCTACGTACACGGCAATTGTGCAGCATGCCAAAAATGGAAAACCTGCAATTGTGTTTGTTCCTACCAGGAAGCATGCCCGTCTTACTGCAGTGGATCTGATGTCCTACTCAAGTGTGGACAGTGAACAGAAATCGTTGTTCTTATTGCAGTCCGAAGAGCAGCTGGAGCCTTTTATTGCCAACATCAAGGAACCTATGTTGAAGCAGACACTTCAATCCGGTGTCGGTTACCTGCACGAGGGGCTGTGCAGCACAGATCAGGATATTGTGAAGACACTGTTTGAAACTGGCTGTATTCAGGTGTGTGTGATGAACAGTTCCATGTGTTGGGGAGTTCCACTGTTGGCACATTTGGTGGTGGTCATGGGAACGCAGTACTATGATGGCAGGGAAAATGCCCATACGGATTATCCTGTCACTGATTTACTGCAGATGATGGGTCATGCTAGTCGACCTCTTGTAGACAACTCTGGGAAGTGCGTCATCCTTTGCCATGCACCGCGTAAGGAATATTACAAGAAATTTCTCTATGAAGCTTTTCCAGTTGAAAGCCATCTGCACCATTATCTGCACGACAATATAAATGCTGAGGTAGTTGTGGGGGTTATTCAAAACAAGCAGGATGCAGTAGACTACCTCACCTGGACGTTTATGTATAGAAGGTTGGCTCAGAATCCAAACTATTATAATCTTCAGGGTGTTAGTCACAGGCACCTATCTGATCATCTTTCGGAGCTCGTGGAGAACACGCTTGGTGATTTAGAAGCAAGTAAATGTGTTGCCATTGAGGATGACTTTTTGTTGTCGCCTCTGAATCTTGGCATGATTGCTTCTTACTATTACATCAGTTACACAACAATCGAACGATTCAGCTCTTCTCTGGCTTCTAAAATGAAGTTGAAGGGTCTTTTGGAAGTATTGGCTTCGGCTTCAGAGTATGAACAGCTTCCAATCAGACCTGGTGAAGAAGAGTTGATAAGGAGGTTAATCAACCACCAGCGCTTCTCCTTCGAAAATCCGAAATACACAGATCCGAATGTCAAGGCAAATGCTTTATTGCAAGCTCACTTCTCTAGGCAAGTGATTGGCGGAAATCTGGCGGCCGATCAGCAAGAGGTGCTCATATATGCGAGCAGGCTGCTTCAGGCTATGGTGGATGTTATTTCAAGCAATGGCTGGCTGAGCCTGGCCCTCCTAGCCATGGAAGTAAGTCAGATGGTAACTCAGGGAATGTGGGAGCGAGATTCCATGCTCCTCCAACTTCCTCATTTTACCAAGGAATTGGCGAAGAGGTGCCAGGAAAACCCCGGAAAGAGTGTTGAGACTGTATTTGATCTGGTGGAAATGGAGGATGAGGAAAGGCGAGAGCTCCTGCAAATGCCAGATTCACAGCTTATGGATATTGCTCGGTTTTGTAATCGATTTCCAAACATTGATCTGACTTATGAGGTGGTGGATGTTGAAAATATTGCTGCTGGAGAGGATATTAGTGTGCATGTCAGTCTTGAACGAGACCTCGAAGGAAGAACGGAGGTCGGACCTGTGGATGCCCCTAGATATCCCAAATCGAAAGAAGAGGGATGGTGGTTGGTGGTTGGTGATACGGAAACTAATCAGCTGCTTGCTATTAAAAGAGTAACTCTGCAAAGGAAATCAAGGGCGAAACTGGACTTCAGTGCTCCAGCAGAAGCTGGGAAGAAGACGTATACTCTATACTTTATGTGTGATTCTTATCTAGGCTGTGATCAGGAGTATAGCTTCACGGTGGATGTCAAGGTGGCGAGGAATGAATAGAGAGCAGTTGAATGGACGGATTGATCGGATGCTGTGGCTTACTGACTTGTAAGTTGTGATACTAAAATCTTTTTTTTTTTTTTGTTTAATTGTTTTTCGGCACCCAATCCTTCCATTGGATATAGATAGATAGATAGATAGAAAGAGTACTTCACTAATATCACTACCTGTTGTGTTCTCGGAATCATATGGTGCTAATGATGGCTGACCCAATATCTTGAAACTTGATTGTAGTTTGCATATATCCTCATTTCATTCGGGGGAAGAAACCAGAATTCTGAAGACATGTCTACAGACAGCTAGTTCAAGAATAGAAGACAAGGAAGGTACGTGGAAAATGTTGCGATTGATTTGTGTGTTGTCTGTTGTGTTGGGAATGAATGAATGAGTATCGTATCGTATTTCCTAACCGATGCCTTGAAAGGAATGCACAAATAATCTCATCTCATAGATCTGTTTTTTGTGGTTTGCTGTGTTATAGTGGGCGTGGAAAGGAGGGTAGCTTGCTGTAGTGGAACTGGAACTGGAACTGAACCGAGAGAAGAAGCCATGTAATTGTTTGGAGCTGTTGTTGCTGATTATCAGAATTGAGCGTCAAATTTATTAATTCCAGACTCGTGACTAAAGAATGAATATATACCTTTTGATCTATAGACTAAGGATGCTTGCTTCCTTAGTTACATTTGAATTTGATCCCACCCTCTCTTCTCTTTGTTGCTATTATATAATACTACTACTTCTACGTTCTCAATTTTAAAATTTTAAATTTAATTATTATCATTATAATGTTATACAATATTAATACTTATGAAACATAATTTATTATTAGAAATAAAAAATAATTATATTAGTCATTCATCAGAAAATGTAGATTATTTTGTCTATCTTTTTTTTTAAAAAATATTCAATTATTCATACTTTCGATAAAAGTAGTAATTATTTCTAGTTATATAAATAAATCAGTTACTATTTTCTATTATAATTTTTTTTTAATCAATATATTAACTGTTTGTTCTTGTTTTTACTTGGACGTAGTATTTTTACGTGAAGTATTGAAATATATATTTGTAATATATAAATATATAATATTCAGAATTGAGAATTTTTACATTTGTTATTTATTTTAGAATATTTATTATTTAAATTTTAGAATAAAAATATTTTTAACTATTTTTAAATATTAATTACGAAAATATTTATAATATTAATATATATTTTTAATATTTTTAAAAAGTTCGTGGGTTAACCTCTTAACTCGTCACCCGCTGATGGATTGAGTTGGGCAGATAAAATTTTGATATGCCCCGCCGCGGATTGACTCGCAAATAATCCGTTATTTGCTGTGGTTGTAGGCCAATTCGTCCTAGTAACTAGTTTTGATAGGTCTAATATTATTAGTGGGCATATTTTAAAAAAATTAATAATGAGAAATACTCCATTTTAAAAATAAATTATAATTAAGTTTATGAATTTGTGAATAGATTTTGTAATAAAAAAAATTATAAAATAATAAAATGGAATACGAACAAAACAAATGATGAAAAATTGAAACAAACAACAGTGACATCGATAACAGAGTTAGAGAAGAAAAATATCGTGTAGACAATATTGATAATTTATTTAATATAATGATAATATAAATTTAATTTTATTAGTCTTGACTTAAAATATTTTTTTCAGTATATTAAAAATAATAATATGTTATTTATTAAATAAAGTGTACAATATGATTTTGATATTTTTTACTATTTGTACGTTATTTATAAATTAATTGTATTTATAATATTCCCTCCGTCCCATAGTCTTATTGTGTTGGACACAGAATTTAAAAAATATTGATATTATATTGCTAGTGGGTAAAAATAAGGATAAATGACTTTTTGTGAGTATATTAGTGTAAAAAGTAATGACAATTGTGTAATAATAATGAAAAAGTAAAAATATTTTTATGGTGATATGATTATTTATGGAAATGAGACTATTGTTTTGAGACTAATAAAAATGGTAAACAAGACTATTGTATTGGGACGGAGGGAGTAGTATATTTGTAATTTATGTAAAATTAAAATATATTTTGATATTAATATTTGATTCTTTTATTATAATTTTTTAATTTGACAGTAAAAAACGATAAAAGAATACATTCAATTTGACGTACTAATTATTATATTTATTGGCCCGCGGGCTAACCTGTCCTTAACCCGCGGCCCATGCAGGTTGGTCTATTTAGCCTCGCATTTTAACGGGTTTAAAAAATCACAATCTAACATTTCTTAAAAGGAAGGCTGGCGGGCCAACCCGACGGGTTCAAACCATTGACCGTTCTATAATATACTTCATCCGTCTTAATACAATAGTCTTGTTTACCATTTTGTCCGTCTCCAAACAATTGTCTTATTTTCATAAATAATATGTCACCATAAAATTACCCTTAACTTTTTCATTTTTATTATACCATTGCTACTACTTTTTACACTAATACACTAACAAGTTTTTTATCCATACTTTTTACCAACTACCAATATAATATCAATATTCCTTTACTCTCGTGCCCAACCCAATTAAAACTATATTTATGGGAGGAAATGAGTATAATATTGTAGTTTTAAATAATATACATTATATTGTTGGCTTGTGAAGCATTAATTCATATTATTGATTTTTTAATTTAAAAGTCGTACAAATAATTTTAATATAATACTTAAATTATCCTGATTATTATGAATCATAGAATTAAAAAATAAATTATCTAACTATTTCTATTAATTAATTATTGGCGCTGAACTTAATATATGCACACTTCATTATAAATATATATTTTAAATATTAGATAAAATCCTCGTCTTGTTATGAAAACAACAAATGTGTTTATTTATGAATTTGATTTTTGTAATTGAGCTTTTTGAATAGTAGAAATTTCAATTTAAATAATTATTTGATATAATATAAATAATATGATATTTTTAATATAAATGTATTTTTTTCTCTACCATTTTATATATATTTCTTATAAAAAATACAAGATTGTCCCTCCAAATTGAAACCCGCCGGTTTACAATTATGAGAAAAGAAAAATCGAACTTTTGGTTGAACATGAGCAAGTATTTATTATTATTATTATTATTATTTTATTTATTTATTTTATTTTCTCCGCCCTCCACATCGGCCTCCAAGACACGGCAGCTTCTTCTTCGTCGTCCTATTTTTAGAATTGAACTTACAAATAGTTCGTTAGTCGTCGTAGAATTTGTAAGTTTAATTCTTGCACTATTTTTTGAACTATTTGCTTCCAATGCCGTCTGCTATGGCATTAAGGGTTTGAATGGTTTGATTGTGGTTGCGATTAATTGCGGTATATTAGATTGATTCGCCTGGTTGAAGTCTATTAGTTTGATTTTTGTTGGCTTGTGCATTCTTTTATGTATTAATGGGTTCACTTGCTTTGTGTTTCTTTTGATGGAAATTTTATGCCTTTTTGTTGGAATTGATTTAGGTCATTCCTAGTTGTTCTAATCTTATACAATAGTGGTAACAATTAGCTCACAGTGAGTGGGATTTAGTAGAAACCAACATCAAGCATATAATTCACATATAGATTTCAATCATTGTTTATATAGTTGTGAGTTTTTTAGCTTAATTCTTGGTTTGTTTTATTGTTGAGCGCAAGTATTGTCTTTAAATAATAAAGTTATGAATAAGGGTCTGTTTCGATTAGGTATGTGCACGGTAAATTGAGGCGCCAAACCGAGCGCCCTCCACCCTTCCCCAGGAAATGGCAGCAAAAAGCTGCCATTTATTATTATTATTTTTTAAATTTTTATTTTTTTTTCAAAATATTATATTTATTTAATATTTATAATAATTATATGGTAACAGAATATATACAATATATATGTCATCTTGTAGAGAATAAAATTTTCTATAATACAAATTAACAAATTTAAATATATATATATATATGTTAGGTATAATATAAATTCATAATCAAATCATACAATATAAATTTTATCAATTAAATTTAATACACATTTATATTATTTTATTCATTATCCATCAAATCAATACACATTAAAACTTCCAAAATCCCAACCAAACCCAAACACAAATGAAACAACAAAATTCAAACTCATCCAAAAATTCATATAAAAATCAAACCCAAATCCAAATTTCCCCGAACCCCCCTAAAGGAACACACCCTAAATGTTTCTTGAACCATCTAAAATATGGGAGCCTAGGGTTTTAATCATATTTTCATAGGCTACGATTCAAAATTTTTTTTCCTCACTTCTTGTAGCTTCTTATTTGCTCGGTGATCTTTGATGCTAGCTATGTGACATTGTCTTTGTATTATTTGTGCATTTGAAGGTTGGAATTGGTAGATTTGGGAAAGCTCGATGTATGATGATTATGCTGACATAGCATTATGTAAATTGTTCATTATGAAATATTTATCATATGATTGTTTTTGGTAACTATTTTTGTAGATAATGTATATAATTTTTGTTATATGACTATATAAATAATCTATATATTATATATTTGAGGTTAGTGTGGGTCCCATTCGATCAAAACTTCTTTTTTTTTTTTTCTGATTTTTTAATAAAAATAATTATATTAATTAATATAATTAATAGATTACCATTAATATTATATAGTTATTATTGGTATGATTAATGAAATGATAGCTAATAAATATATTTATTAAAATTCAAAATTTATTATTATTATTATTATTATTATTATTAATATCTATATATTATATACATAATTTAATATATTCATTATGTAATTTATTATCTATATATTATATATTTGAGGTCGGTGTTGGTCCCATTCCACTAAAACTTTTTTTCTTATTTTTCTGATTTTTTAATATAATTAATAGGTTACCATTAATATTATATAGTCTCTTAATAATCTATCCATTTTTCCATTTTGGTCCGTCAAATATCGATTTCATTTTTTAGTAATTGTACTATCTACTTAATATTACAAATACCTTTCAAATTTACAATATATTACACAAATGTCATTACATTTATATCATACTAATTTAGTCTTTTTTACCTTTATTTCTACTTTATCTCAATATAATACTAATATTTCTAAAACTTCGTGTAAAAAATAAATGGATATATGGATATGAGACGGAGGGAATAATTATTGGTATGATTAATGAAATTATAGCTAATAAATATATTTATTAGAATTCAAATTTTATTATTATTATTATTTATATATTATATACATAATTTAATATATTCATTATGTAATTTATTATTTATTATAACTTGAGCTTGGTGGATCCCGAAATTCCAAAGCTTTTTTTTCTCATTTTTAATGATTTTAAAATTAATTTAATATTTTTTAAATTTACATTTAAATTCATAATTAATGGTACTTATAATTATTTATACTAATTGATCATCATTTATACATTTTAATTAATTATTTTGTATTTTGTAAAAATTATTAATATATTCTGCAAAATATTGTATAAAAAACTATAGGGTAAACTGTTTTTTTAGTCCCGTAACTGGACTCCCTTATTATTTTAGTCCCGTAAGTGGAGCTTGTCGCAAACTAGTCGCATAAGTGAAAAACTTTCGCTGTTTTAGTCCTCCGATGTTGGAGACGCCTGCGTGGCTCGCCGGAGGTAACGTGTCCACCAGGTCGCGACACCTGGTGGACACGTAGAATTTTTTTATTTTTTTTCATTTTTATAAAATTTATTTTTAATTTATTTTTAATTTTATTTGATTTTTTTTTATTTTTTTATT